GGGGGGGGGGGGGGGAATACATCGGGCCGTGGCCCTTGGTTTGTCCCTTGTGCATTCCTGTGTTTGAATGAGCCTATAGATCTCTTTAGTGGATTTAGACCTCCATGCCAGGACTCTCCTGACTGCACCTGGGTCATTCTACGGGTTCCATCTTTTTCCGTGTCTGTCACATCTGACATACAATTTTTGTAAGTTTCAGAACACATTCTCAAATTTCCAAGAGCGGCGAATGAATGCCAATTGCCGGCCAAACAAACAGAAATAGTTTAAAATCAATTTTCAGTGATACTTCCCCGTCAAATTACGCAGGCCAGGGGAAATAGGGACACAAAAATGTCACACTTTTGGACCCCAAATTTATAGAATGACCCACATGCCATGCCAAAGGCTCTGTCTCATTGCGGGAATCGTAGTAATGCTGCTAGAATCTGTTAGACACTCTCCCAACCTGTGCAGCGGTAGCTATTTGCGCCTCTGGACATGTAGTTGACGGGCAGTTTGGTCCCAGCTCCTGCCGGTCCTGTGTCAGGTAGCTAGAGATAGATTACTTACACTTGTCTGTGCGGAAATCAAAGCAAGGACCCAATGCTGGGTCTCCTTTGCATCTGTAAAGACCTCAAGGTGGACCCATAAAGGAGAAAGAAGAAATTTGCACTAGTCAGGGCAGTGTCAACATTTTCACAGTGTTTGAAACTAGTCATTCCAGCAAACTGTTCAGTTTATCAGAGGACAGACATAAGGAAAATTAGCCAGTACATGTTTTTACTTGTTAAAAAAACCCAAAAGCATACTTCCTTGTTTGCTAGAGCGCGCAAAATGCATGTTTAATGCATGAGAAAATGTTCTGTGTATTGCTGCAATTGGTGTTCTAGGGGTACGTCTGTGAGGGCAACATTTTTTGCAACGTGTAGTTCATGCATGTGCATATGCTAGGCCATGCTACTGCATGAAATGCTTGCTTTGCAGTGTAAAAGCCGAACTATGCATTTTACAATGTATCCACCTCCGTTGATTGTAATTAGCTGGATGTACATGTATGTACATGTATTGCATATTCATGTAAACATGACATAATCTACAGTACTTTCGTGAAACCAAGTTGACTTTCCGCATAGAATCTTTTGACCGGCAGAACTGTTTGATTTGATAGCAGCCTTTCTTTCTACTTGCAGGTGAGGAAACCCATATGTAAACTGGTGCCTGGAGGGGAGACTGACTCACTGGCATCTTAACGACTGCTGTTGAGGAGACTAATCTTGATGTCATTTTCGCTTTGATCAGGTCACGTTGTGATGATTGTAGAGATATTTCTAGTAGTTTCAAGGTTAATGTGAAGATTTCATTTGTCAGTTATTACATGTAAAGGAGAGTACAATTTGTAAATCATTAATGGTTTGAATTTTGACTGGATTTTAATTTTGATGGGGGTGGGTGGGCTGGGGACCTTTTAGCGGGGTTTTGAGTGCACAGTTTCGGGGTTGACATTTATACTTTCCTGAAGTATTCTTTTTAGGCACATTTTGTTTGATTTGTATTTGAAAAGGGGAAATTTTTTTTAAAAACACATTTGAAAACCATGCCAGAAAAGGAGTGAAATTTCAACAAAACGTGACAGAAGTCCACTCAACAGCTGAAGAGCATGAATACCAAGAATGCTTACATGAATTGGGCATTTCTTTAACCCCTAACACTCCTCAGTCCTCCAACAGGTGAAGGATTGAGGAGGGTTAGGGTTAAGGTGGCCTGGGCTGGTTGGGGGATAGACCCGCTGTCGCCAAATTCACGGGTGGAATTGCTATACAATTTGGGAACAATTTATGAAGTGGTCAAGATATATTTTGAGTACTCGGGTCATTCTTGCTTCCGCTACTGTTTAATCAAGGGCTTCCAAAAGCGATATATATATAAAAATGACTATATTTATATTGTGATTGTACAGGTCGTGTGAAGTATAAATTGCCAAAAATACCTGTCCTGAGTTAATACGTAAAACTTTTAGACGTCTTTTTAGTGTTTGAACAGTTTGTATCAGTTTTTATTGAAGTTTTGTTCTTTTGCATTAGTTTTGATTTCTACATCAGACACCGATGGAATCCAGTATTTGTAACCTTTCAGTATTTAAATGCCAAATCTTAATGCCCTCTAAGGCTCTTGAATAGTTACTGTAAATTGTTTGCAATATTTGATATATTTCTTCTCTAGGAATGCTATTTGCACTCAGGAATATATTAAATTGGGATTGCGGAAGTTCTCTTTCTTCGATTAGGAGAGAGACTTCTTGTGTTTCTTCCTTAATCACAAGTTTCTTTTTGCAGGTACCATGCCCATTTGGAAGCAGCTAGCCAGTGGGTCTGATCTTTAGATCCGCGGCGGTATCCAGCTCTGTGCCTGGGTATCTGAAATCAGTGAAGACCTAGACCAGAGCACCTGTTCGGCATAACTGGACCAAGCTCAAAAAGCAAGGACAATTGGGCATTCGATAGCGTTTCAAAGACAACTTGATATAACAGAGAAATGTGCACCTTGCAAACCCACCTGCATTTAATTTAAATTTGGTATACAGATAAACAGTGTGGCTTTTACCCAGCGATATACATATTTTACACTTGCATTTTAGACCACTCTTTTTGTTGTACGTTTTGGAAATGGTAACTATAAATCAACTTGTGTACTTGCGTTGTGTGCCAGATTTGAATAAATCTTTTCATTATATTAGCTTCTGACTATTCCTTAAATAAAATTAATGAAAAACAAGGTAAACTGTTCAGTAAACTTCTGATTCATTCCCGTTAAAGTGGTCATTAAGCTCCAGTGGTTCTTATTTTGAACACACAATGTGCTCAGTAGTTTTGTCATGCACGACTGATGTGTAGATTTTATTTGACCTTTTCAAGCCATCTTCGACGATCTGAAATTGGAAATAAAAGGGGATAAATTGGATGGCCGCAGGATCAACAAAATTTTGGTCAGGACTGACCGAAATTTCAGGGAAAGCTGCCTGGCCTAATTATTAGATATTTTAAAGCCCAACTCCGTCTTGGATTAAATAATATTCTGTTAAGTCAAACAAAGAAAATTTAATGTAAAAAAAATTGCCTTCTTTTGCTAAAAGATGCAATTTTGGAGGATTTAGAAAAATGTCAAATTTGGCCCAAATTTTAATTACAGTGCAAGGCTAATTTTGGACTTTATCTTCTGAAATTTAAATTTGTTTGAAATTTGAAATGGCACACAGTATTCTCTTGAGTCCAACAAAGAGAAATTAAGGTCTAAAGAAGAGAAAATTGTTTTTTCTTCTGAAATGGCATTTTCGTAGGATTAAGAAGTGTCGAATTTCAATTATAACTCAAGGTTTATCTGTTGTAGTTATAATTTTGAGCTTGAAAAATGAAATTCAATCTGTTTGAAATTGTACGTAATGTGTCGAGACAGAAATTAAGGAGCTAAAGATGTCCAAATTAAATGTTTTCTTCTCAGAATGCACTTGGGAAAAATTTGGGAAATGTCAAAATTAGGCCAAACAATTACATTGCAAGGCTCACCCCATGAGTTTGAATTTGCAAACTATATTTTACTGAGTCACACAAAGAAAACTTGATCTAAAAATGCCCAATCAATCTTTTCTGCTCCAAATGCATTTTGGAAAAATCTAGGGAAAAGTCAATTTTTTGGGGCAAAGTTTTGATAAAATTGCAAGGCTAACTCCTTGTAGTTTTAATTTTGAGCTTAAAATGATAAAAATTGAATCTTGAACCCCCCCAAATTGCCCAAATTACTGAGTTAAACTACTTGAACCCAGGCCAAATAGGTAAAAGGCAAGGAAAGAACGGATATGGCAAATGGGGATATTAAACCCAAACTGCATTATTGGAAATAAAGCAAAAGTACACACTCCATACATTGCACTGAAATGCAGTATATTATAACGCAAGATAGCAGCTGTACTGCTGAACAAAATGTGTTACACAATAGATCAACTGGTAAAATAGGATTTCAATATAATTGAATTAAAATATCTGAACTGATAAAATATAACCGATCTTCACTCTACGAAATCATACAACAAATATTATTCAGCACCCATAAATGACATGGAAGAGTTCCACCACGGCTCGCGTGTGAGAAACTGCACCAAAAACCAGACGCCCGCTGGCTGTATGATTCAACCAAAGGTGTATACACGTGTATCATAGGAAACAGTGGTGGCATATGCAAATATCAGCGAGAACACGTTGACAAGAAACAGTCAAAAAGTTCTTGCCAGTAACTTCCCTGTTTTTTTTCCCCCATACCAAAAGACAGCATCTGATTAGGAGTCGAAGTCAAATTTGATCGCCTTTGAAGCATTGCTATGCTTGAATGACTTTATTGCACTCGCACTATGAGTAGGGGACAACCAGTCATCCTCGACAGTCAATGAAATGAAAAAGCCTCCAGATTTTGGCCCTAAAAATGGAAACCCTGAACGACTTTATCAAGCTGGAAAATACTTCACAAACATGTAGTTCATTCCATGTTCCATTGTATTTGGAAAGAAAAAAATATGAGTTCGGCTTGAAATAATTTTGGATAGTTTAAATAGTCAGTAGTGAAAACTGAATGGTTCCCACACATGTTTTTTACAACTGATTTTGGAGTACGTCAGCCTCAAAATTCCTGATGACTTAACTTGAACCTGTTTGGTCACTAGTCTCCAAAAGTTAATTTTTTTTCCAAAGATTTTTTTGTGCAGTCTCCCTTGATTGCATGGTTTAAAAAAAGAGGGAAAAGGAAAAACATGATTCCAAAATTTGGGAGGCTGGGTAGATTTCGGGGACTGGGGATCTTGCCCCTAACTCCCTGCAGCCGTCCATGGGGATGCCATGGGAATTTTTTCGCAAACTAAAACGGCAACAAATGAAGCTGCAGAACACGAATCACATCTTTGCTCGTGAAATTTTGAAGAAACATCTGAACATCTGGCGAGGAAAGATGACTCAAGTAGAAGTAAATTTCTGTCTTGATGAAGAATGCAAAGAAGAAACATGAAAGACAGACAACATCACTTGGTGTACCAAAGCAACTTGCCACAAAAACCGCTCGCTACAATCTAGAATCAAATAACACTGGAGTGCTGGGTTTCGATATAAAAAAAGCACCGTCAAGTACCTGTGAACAGTCTCAAACTCTGCAAGGATAACTGCATGGCACCCATGCAGTCTATGTTAAATACACAATTACAAATTTCCATGGTATCAAATTATTTGTTGTAAGGAATAAATTACGTAGAGTTGTGCTTGTCAGTCTCATTCTAAAATCACGCTGCAAAACAGGGTTGTCCAACATCCTTACATAATTGGTGCACGCATCAAGGATCATAAGTCTATGTGCTTCACACCACAAAGCTGCCTTCTGCATGTAGCTGAAAATGTAATCACGTAATGTCAATATTGCTTGTAACAATAAATATGACGCTTGTAAATTTGGTGTGATTTGCTATTTTCTGCCAAACAGCTTTGCTGGCTTCGTGATCAGGTGCGGGCTCCATGAGCAGCGGCCAAAACAAACATTTTATCGTGCAAATTTACACGAAATGTGTGTAATAAGCGTGCCAATCTACAGCAGACTGACATTTCATCTGGCAACTTACCTGCACGTGTATATTGCTTGTTTATATGGACCCCTATTTTCTGATTTTCAGTAACCACGTGAATAAGTAATTTCTTCCCCGCCTAAGCAAGTGCCACAAAATGCCTGGGGTGGGCTCTTCCGTGTGGACCAAACAGCGCCCTCAGCAGTTCATCACAACTCCATTAACTCGTGATCCAACATAACAGGAAGGTAAAAAATACACCATACTGCTTGTAAAGTACTGAATAGGCAAAGTTTGACAAGTGCTGTTGACTTTCATACCCATGCAGGCTGATATCTTGATCCCCTTTACGCAATTTTGGAAAAAAAAAAAGACAGCTCAGTCCAAATCTGAGTCGGGCAGGGCAAATGAGGACAGTGCCCCCTTCCACCCCCTGGAAGACGCCCCTCCCCCCACAGCATGCCCCAAGGAGTCTATTACCATATGCCTCTGGTCCCAAGTGAGGTCGCAAGCTGTGATACTTCCACGGAGGAACTGTGACAACTAAATTTCCAAAAGGAATTTCCAAGAGACAAGGCGTTTCAGGAACAAAGCAAGTGTGTGAGTCGGCGTATATTGCTGCGCTGGTAGGGCAGACTATTGTGCGTGCTGTTGTTCCCTCACAGCCTCGGACGTATTTCAGGTCAGGCACGCTCTGTTGGAATACCGAACTGGTTAACTATCTTTAAACCAAATGCCTTGGGATTGGCTTAGTTCGCAGATGTGCGATTTTCTTGAGGACTTGATCAATAGTCCAGACACACAAACAGACTCTGGTTCACAAAGATGGTGTGTGTGATCAGCTGCCAGGAATATTTTAACAATTGCTCTCATTGTTCAAATATATTTTTACAATTGTTACAAGGAATATTTTAACAATTGGAGCAATGTGGTTCATTGACTTTCAAACAAAAATCCAATAGGAAACGTAGGCACTATGCTTGGGGCGTGGGAAAAATATGAGGCTATACCACAGACTGACACGGATAGCCTTATCCCTACTTTGTTATTTCATCAGAAGCTGGCCATCAAACAAACCCCTTGCATGATCTTGATTTCCATGAGTTTTTCCTTGACTTTTTTTTCCTCTGACAAACAGGGTTCCATAACACCCAATTTCCAAGTTTCATTGACTTTTCCGTGGCTTTCCAAGGCAACTGTTCCCCCCCCCTTCCCCGAAATTTTCAGGACCGCGGGAAACCCTGATGGAACACAAAATGTGAACACTGACACAGTGCACCGTCGTGAAGCCAATGAAAAGTCATCGGAGGATGCACAAATTCAACTTCAAGTATTGCAAAGAACATCATACGCTAGTCTGTGACTTAAAAGAGTTAGAGACACGCTAGGCGTCCAAGAAAGCCACTACCACAAAATAGTTCAGTATAATTATACAAGCATTATGTACAAACCCTAGTATGTACAGAAACTGTTTAAATAATTGTGAAAAAATACGAATAATTACAAATCTTCATAAGAGGTTTGAAATATATTTCAACCTTACAAAAATGTACAAATACTTCCTGTAAGAATGCAGCAGTACAATCTTTATTTTTTTTTTTAGGTTTTTTGGTTTTGTACAGTTCGTCTGTCTTACTTTGAGGCAGATATCTGTTGTGGATTGCTGCAGGATCTGACGTGCACTGGTTAATGCCGTGTGTTCACGCCAGTCAAGGGATACTTTGGCAGATGAAGTCGTTTGAGGGGAACCGCTGTGGTTGAGCGGTCTCCGCGTCACGTTCGGCGCGGCTCCAGTTTGTGGGAGTGCTGCGTCAGCACTCGCTGGTTGTCTATCACCCGGAGATTTCTGTCCGGTGGAAGCAAGACGAGGGTCACAAGGCTAAACTTCAATGAGCCATATGGTTTAAATTGGCAATTCTTTGGGTTAGGTTTGTTGGGCATGCACATTGGAACACCAGTGTACAAGTTTGTCGAAACTGCAAGGGTCCAACAGAATGGAAAACAAAATGTGGTAAAGTTTCATGCAAGATTTGTGTATATTGTGGATCAGCTTCGCAAATTGATAATTCATAACTTTATCAGTAATACCTACTGACAATCCCGAATTCAGTTCCATCAAACTTGATTGTGACTGAGTTTACAAAAGCTCAATAGGTTAAGCCATACAGACACAAAACATCAACAAAACTGCATTTTGAGATAAAAGCTTTCAGTATTTCCAAACGGTGCTCCTCGTAGAATTACTATTTATAAATACATCTGACTAATTTTAACTTCAAGAAACGCCGACCTAATGCGCTTACCTGACGTAATTTCTGATTTCACTGATGTTCTTGACGGGAGGTGGTGGGTCCATAGTGAAGGGTTCGCTTCGGCAATATTTGATGGTGCGGATTGTCGACGCAATCATGTGCTGTTAAAGAGAACAATCAGAATGGAAGAGGACCGAGCCCAGTCCCCATTATGGCCAATATGAGAAAGTGAACACAAATATGACGTCAAAAACTGATGATGGCAAATTTTCAAAGGCCAAAATGGATGTGTTCTATTTCTGCAAAATTCCAAGTGAAGATATTTGTAACCTGTGAACCCTCACCATCTTCTCAAAGTTGACCAGGCCGTCAAAGTAGGTCTTGTTGCCCTCGTGCGTGAAGGCCATGTCCTTGATGGCCAGAGGCATGAAGGGAATCATGGGAGGTTGCATCTGTGAGACAGAGAGACGATAGACGCGGTGGTTGCGAGATGGGTCCATGGTGGCCTCAAACTCGGCGTATGTCTTCTTGAACCGGCTCGGTAGTTTCTTTGTTGGGAAAAAAAATGAAGACAAGAAGTTATATTCCCTTTTTTTGCGAGGTCTCTGTAAGGTGGCTGTTTGGAAGTGTTTGACAGCTCAAAAAGCGTAGTGACTGTCTAGGAATGCAGGGCATATATTTACCAAATTCTTACATGATATGAGGCATGTGTGTGAATCATTCCAAGTCTAACTCTGGCTCTTTTGGGGTTGAAGCAGGATTTTTAACATTGTTCTTGACACAGCATGACATATATCAGCCAATTTGAGATACAACGCACACAATAGGAGGGCGCTGTATGGTTTGGGTAAAATCTTTTGTGTTTAATCCAAATTTACCCACTTCAAACGGCACCCTCCTACTGTGTCCGGCAGGCTTCAAAATGGCTAATTACAGAACTTTGACCAGTCTGGTTGCTGATCCTCTGGGTAGAAACTGGGAAAAAGCAAAACAAAACAAAACAGGTTGTACCCGTGTGGGCATGGTAGGTATACACCAGTAAGTCTCCACAAATCAGATATTGCTGGATGTTGTTGAGCAGGCTGCCATGAATTTGGAAGGGTTCGGTTGAGTCAGGAAGTTTCAACCTCTACATACTCACCTCCCACGTTTGAGTGAGTCTGCAGACGGCAATGTTACTCATTCCCATGACGATCGCAAAGAAGGAGTTCATGTTCTGGTACTCTTTGCAACTGAAACAAAAGAAAAGATAAAAAAAGATCCTTCAAATCCAACTTTGATGTTAAACTGTTGTGCGTCATGTTGTCAAAACTTAGGTTAACTGATAGCGTAATTGTTGAGACTTACTGTCCAAACTACAGTACCAAAAGAAGTTAAAATCGTAAGTCTGGCCATAAAAAGATGACATGACATGTTTATCTAGATCCAACGGGACAAAAAAAGGCACAAGGCCAAACCTGACATCTCGATTCAACGATCCATAATCGGCCTACTTGAAGAAGTCAACATGCTAAGAGAGTACGGATGACGCATTATTTGAACTTACTATGCGGCTATCTTGATGAACTTCCTCAGTAGCTGGACCCGCTTGCTGACATTGTTGGTCAGGCTGAGCTCCGTCACCACCCAGAACTGCACCTCGTTGAACCGCCGCAGGAACAGGTCCAGGTTGGCCGTGATCTGGCCAAACTTCTGCCGGCCAAAGGTGTGGTAGACAAACTCAAACTGTACGACACAGGGGAAAATGGACAACAAATTTGTTCTTGGCGCAGGGCTTGTTCTTCTCTTATTAACGGGGTAGGCCCAATGTCCCCCCTCTGGATCTGCCTTGTTTGAACGCAACAGAAATGACCCCTGTGCCCCATGAATGCCGTTGAGAGTCTCCAAGTCACAGGTGGTGTCCCCATTGGGTATCTTTTGGCTGTAGCTTTTTACCATTAGCTCAATTTCAATAGTGAACAGCCGGAGTTGCAGCCATGAATGCCAATGTCTGGCACTGTCGTGTAACAGTACCGTGGCATTATCACTTTCTTTTGAACTCCCAACTTCAAGAATGACCTTTGAATCCATTGGAATGACCTCCAAGTCACTCACCTCATGAACACAGTTGAAGAGCTCCCAGTCATACAGCGTCATCTGGTACGCCACCTCCTTCGAGCCCATCAACTCAAACATGGCAAACGTGCTGTCCGATGGGCCCTCCTGCTCAGGAATCGGCGTCTGAAGAAAAAAAAAAGAAAGGGGTCCCAATAACCGTCAGCTTTTCTGGACCCTGCACGAACATTTAACAAGTCTAGTGACAAGTTGACAGAAATATCATTCTTCAGTTAGTCAAACTTGTCAAAAAGAGGTAACCCAAACAAAGTTGAAGATGCGTTCATGCTCAACATGAAAGGAGATATAAAGTACTTCAACGTCACAGAACCCTTAGTGGAAACTTTGTTTGACACTGTTGCTACTTTGCAGCTTTAACTTGTATTGCTGCCGCATATTCACTTCAGCTAAAGTGTCCAAACAGCTAGTGGAAAACTACAACATAGAAACTCAGAAAGGATTAATTAATAATATGTCTGACTTTACCAAGGCATCCAGGTGTTCTCGCGGTGACACAAATATTCTGCCGTTCAGAGACAACCCGGCTGTCACACAAATGTCATTCTCCTTGAACAAGATGCGCTCTGCCATAAACCAACCAAACCAAACAAAATCAAACCAAATTTTATGACTTTAATCACAAATACAAATCAACCTAAACTTTACAAAGCCAGGACATCCAATAATCTATACACCGATCTCATCGTGGGATGTTTTACTACAAAAAAGTCTGGACTATCAGGGAACGGTAATATCATGCTGTGTGGTCTACTCCCAAGAGCAGGTCCATGCAAGTCATGTGATCCATTTCGTTTGAATGCGTACAATGCTGATGGGTATGCTGGGGGTGAAGGGCAGCAAATAGTCTGTCATGTATCTCTTGTTACAATATGATGAGGAGCTTGCGCAAAGAATCTAAACAGGCCTCGTGTGCATTTTCACTGGTCAGTTTTTAAAAAATCTGCCACATACCCGCGGTCGATTTGATCTCGCACAGCACCAGGTCCTCCCCCAGGCACATTTTCTCGGACACTGATCGGACAATAGCACCGGCGGTCGTGTTCATTGGTACCCGTAATGTGGTGTACGTGTGGTCTGCACAGTACACTTTGAAGATATCTGGTGGAAATGAATAACACAACTGGAATCCCTAAACTGAACAAATACAATAAGCTTGTCCGTGGAAGATATCTCCAAACAGGGAATTTTGGGAGGGGAAAATTCATCTCAAAAATGTCCAGTCAAAAAAATCGTACAAAATTTAAAGTTACTATGCTATGAATCGTTGCATCTTACTTTCGTCAGTCGCTTTGATGGGTCTCCGTCTGGGAGTGTCATCCTCTGAACGATGAAATTCCCCTAAACCCTGGACAGCAAAAAAATGATACAGAAAGTAATTGCCTGTGTCCCTTTTGTTCCTTCCCTTTTTGGCCTCTTTTTCAGAATTCAGACAACTTTTCAAGTTCGGCGACTAGCAAGCTTTCTCAGCTCACTGTTGTGAGTCTGCATTCAAGGTTTTGCTCTGCCACAACCCCTTACAATAATTCCCTTCCGTCATCATCATCATCGTCATTAATTTGTGGTTATTTTCTCAGAATACCAATGAGAAGAATAACGGCAAATGGATGCCAAAACATATTCATTTGAGCCATTTACCAATGCAGGCCCGTGAGAATTGCTCTCTTTACATAAACCAAGGTCAGTGAAAACATAAAAACCTGCAAGGGCAAAATGGTGGGTCAGTAGAGAGAAAACTTAAAAGGTGAGACAAAAAATGTAATACATTAACAAGCCTGGGAAAAATACTGTAAACCAAACAAATAATTGGTATGACTGTAAGAACAGGAAGATACTAACTTTTGCGATACTGAACAGTTCGGTACCAGGATAGCCCATAATACTCTGGAAATAGACAAGAAACACCAAACACAACAATACATGCAATACCATCCACACTTGTGACTATGTAAACTAAACACAATTAGTTCCATGCCATCAGATCACAGTTTAGTATGCACGCTCAGATGAAAATTAGTTGTGCACATTCAGATGAAAATTTGAGTACACTAAAACGAAAACTATAACTATATACATTCAAATGGTACATACAGACAGTACAGATGTGCATTTAAATTTTTGGGTGGAATTACATTCAAATGAAATCAGTTGCATATCCCATAAATATCCCATAAAAATTAGTGAACATTCAGATGAAAATTATGTCGATTCAGATTAAACTTTGCTCTGCCTGTACAGATGAAAATTTGTTTTGCGCATTCCATTGGAAAAATTTTTGTGCATATTGAGACGAAACTACCGTTATGTTGTGCAAATTGCATACCACAGGTATGAAACATGAACGCATACAACTCTGAGGTATTATACACTCTGTAGGTCTCAATGGGGGGGGGACACATTTGACTCTTGTATGAAGTAGATAGAAAATGCTACTGACATAGTAGAAAGAGAATTCAAGTAGATGTTCTCATTCATCGGATACTGGTGGTGGGATTGGGTGAAGTCTTAACTGTAATTAATGTCATTCAGTCAAACAAAATATACAACAGTTCTTGACAACCATAAAGAATGGCATGCTTAGATGTGCCTGGCATATAACTGAGCCCAAATTTAACCCTGTGTTGCCATAGTTACCTGTCTCTGCACCTGCCAGGTGTGGGCCTGCTCTTCTTCCATCTTGCGCACCAGGTGGAACACTCGTTCCAGGTTGGCCAGCTCGTCCTGCAGGCTGCTGTAGATGCGACAGTCATCGCAGATGGCCGAAAATAACGTCTGCAGTGATAAACAGACAAACAAAAATGTGACCTGCTCTGCAAAAAGGTGTATTAAGTCACGCAATGGAAAGACACATATTGGCCCATTCCATGTGCCGAGGGTGAAAATATCTGGAAATATTTTGAGGCCGATTGCTTGACCAGAAAGCCTCTGTTGCTAAGGAAAACCAAGAGTGTGTCTAATTTAAGTTTAATCTTCCTGTTTGTTATGTTTAAAGGGCATTATCTTAAAAAGCATGTGTAATAAAATGGAATTATATGAATATGCAAATGGCAAATAACTCCAAAATGCAAAATGTCTCATCTATTATGCAGATATTTAATCCCAGAGTGTGGGTGCTCTGACTTTCTTGCTTTTGGACAAACCAATGCTGGAATAAGCTGGAGGCAGGAAAGCAACCTCTGCATGCTTCTCACAAATATTAAAAACATGGGGAAAACTATCCACGTTGGTCTCGGTAATGAATTCATTAATAAAAGTAAAAATGCCTGCAGAACTAAGGAGACAAGTCAACCAACTCCGTTAGCAACCAATGCCATCAGCTACCCTCCCAATTTTCAAGAAACTATGTCTGTAATAAGACGAATCTCATTTTCCGTCATTAGAAAAAAGAAAAAAGGCCCAAAATCATAACAGGAAGAATGTTATAATGAGGAAAGGCACTGTTCTGTTGTACCTCGACGAAAGACGTAATGACGGGATCCTCCTGGAATGCCGAGCCTGCAATGACGCTCCACTGGCAGACCAGTCGAATGACACGCCGCTTGTTGTTCACAATGTAATCTATTGTCTCTTGTTCTGTAGCCTGGACGATGTCGGCATGATAAGTGAGAAATGTTAAGGGACTGACTTGGATCATACTGCAAGAAGACGAACACCCGTCTGGGCATGAAACCTGTTGAAATTTCGACAAAATGGCTAAAAATGAAATCAACATACTATTACATCGGCTCTAAAATGTTAACACTATTTTTTCATTCACTGTGAAAGTCTATACAATATGTTGCAATACGTCAAAGTTCAAATGGTATTTCTTAGGCCTGCAACTTGGACTCTGACAAAAAAGGAGAAAATTTTAATAATTACAATACTTGGTACAGTGTTTTTAGTTCAATGGCATGTGTGTAAAGTGAAAATCGAGGAGATCAGCTGATCCAAGGAGAAGTTGCACGCCTAATTTTTTACCACTGGTCAAAAGGTAAAAAAAAATAAAATCCTTAAACTGTGTGAAACTTTCACGTGTTATTTCCCAAATTCCAAGTTTTGCCACTTACCTGTCGGTCCTTTTTTTGGGAGCATTACAATGCAGAGCTGGCAATACATGCAGCTCTTCCTGCGGCATTTTCGGGGTATCAAATTTTTTTCAGGTAAATTTCACCAACTAGCTAGGTAATGGTTCAGTGTGGATACAATGTGCAGTAACTTAACTGATTTGTAAGGATAATATAACCCACTTGCACTTGAAATGTAAACTTAAACATGTACAAGGTTCTAACGATAACTGTGGCTGGGCGGTTACTTGAGTAAAAAAAAATACATATTTAACTTTTGTTGGTCTGTTTCATTGTTGCCGAAGGATATTGTGTGAGGAGGGCTGGACACAGCTGTTTGCTGGACATGAAGACAATGTGAGTCAGGAGGAAATCCTCCAGGAACGTGTCCGTCTCATCTTGCTTGCTGTCGATCCTCGTCTCCAGGATGTGCTCCAGCATCTTCTCCGGGGTGCCGGCCATGACGGAATACCTGCCAAAAATTTAATCGAGATGAAAAGGGATGCAGTTACACACGGACAGGAGGGAAATTATGGCTACGGAGCTGTATCAGGAATCATCGGGACGAAATGGGTGGTGATGTACAAAGAGTCACTTGTAGACCAAATGTTGTTGGCAAAAAACCCTAAGCATATTGTTAGTGCATCTGAACTGCTTTCCTTGGTTACGGAAGCATATATTGGCCACTTTCACAAGTTTTTTTCTAGTTACTTTCTTGCTCGCTGCTTCTAGTTACCACAGCAAGTTATTATCTCAGCATGGCCCAAACTGTGCATATATTTACACGTATCTCTTGCTGGTGAACTTTGTTTGAAATTGCACTCTTTTCTGTATGATCAACATCTTCAGAATGGGTCATTCTTGTGAGCCTTGGTGATGGTAACAGAGTTCCTCAAACGAGCACTTGAGCGGGGTAAACACGAGTCAACTGAAGGAACCCACTGAAACACACCGTGCATTATTGGCTGACGCTTGAACCATTGGAAAACACTGCAGTTTCGAAACAGAACTGAAACTGGCAATAACGTTTTCTTTGTCCTAATACTGAAGTGCTACTTCATCGTGCCCGAGGTCAGCTTAAAATGTAATCCTGGCACACTTTCGATTACACATGACTGAAAATGAAGCCTAACTACACATATTTGTTCAGGTCTTAAACTTCAATGCTCCCCCCCCCAAAAAGTCGATGACATTTGGATTTCTGAGCTAAGTATGAAATGGTTCTACTCTCAAAAACAATGCTGACTTCTATATGATACAGAGATGTTGAGGAAAAACTGCATGGGTGGAACGGGATCGGGGTGAGTTGAGGATTGAAGAAATTATCTAACTTCCGGGATAAACTAAATGCGAGGCCAAATGTTACAAGGAAAACCTGACAAGGGAAGAAAAATCACGGACAACTGGCACGTATCCGAGTTAATAAGTGTAACAAGAGAAAAGAAACAAAACAAAGTGACTGGACAAGGATACTTACAGAACATTGGGATTGAGAAAAAAATTTGAAACAGTTACGAGTAGGGCTGTATCTTTGAGAGGAACAGGTGGGGATGGACTAGAATAATACACCGAACTGTAATAAAAAAACCACTGTTATTATGCCTAAAACCATTCCAATAATCCATTGGTTTCCTGAAAACAAATAGTTCAGGTCATTCCTAACACAACTTGAAAGCAAAATGTTGACAACATGAACAAATAAGGCTGTTGGGAGCAACACACACACACATACTGGCGGTAACAAAAAAAATTGAAACAGGGCTATGGTTTCGTTAATGCCTGGCGGAACATAGCGTGCATTGATCTTACCCACGGCGATATGGGCACACCTCTCCAGGGTTTGTGCACGTGCCCACCGAATAACTGAGCAGATAAGGGGGGAAAAAGCGTTAATCCCCCACGAGAGAGAGAGAGAGACAAGAAAGACAAAGAGTGAGGCGGAAAAGATTAGCTGGGTGATCAATCAAAGTCAAGCAGAAAAGCCATTGTGAGACTGAGGGCATATTCAGGAGAGTCAATAAACAAGGTGTGGAAGATGACAAATAGATTAACTGGGATAAAATAGACCTGATGAGATTAAGCAAAGCAGTGACGAGATTAGACCAAGCAGGACTGATTGAATGTAGAGATGTGTTACCATGGATTGAAAGATGTGGAATTCGATGGAGATTAATACATGATCTGGGATGATAATGTGCGTTGAAAAATGCAACATTTGACAGTGCACAAAACAGGTGGAAATGAAATCGTGAACAAAATGACAAGACCTGGTGGACCAACGAAAAGCTGAACACAAAGACTGGATCTGAGATCTGAGGTGACTGTGAATGACAAATCAGTCGCAGAAAAATGAACAAAAAAACTACACTGCAATGCTAACGCTGAGATTGACAACAACTTAAGTGTGAGCTTGGCATATGGACGGCTTAAACAGCTTCTTCAATCAATTAAAAAAGGGCACATGGTGACTGTTTTAACCCAATTTATACAGATAAAGTGAGTATGACTCTGGGCTGGCCAATAAGGAAAGCTGGTCTGAACCAACTTACTTGTAATGTATGGGTGCACCGTCCTGTCGCTGGCCGCTATTGGTCGGGATCTTTTCCAGTACTAGGACGTCTTGGCCATGCTCCTTTAACCTGACTGTGTTGGCTTCCACATCCTAGAAACATCAGAAATACCACAAGAACGTTATACAGGGGAATGCTATTTTTTCACAAGTGCCATGCTGGTGGATTTCGGCGCACTAGCTTGAACTCTTCCCTCATGTGTGCTCAGCACGTCACAAAAGCAAACTTCCCTGATTATTCCCAGGGTTTTGCCTGATGAAATTTCAAAATTCCAGGACAATGATTTCGACCTTTTTTGAATTTGACGTGTCTTCAGTGTTGCTGGAGACTGGTCACTTGTGACCACTTTCTCTTTTGGTCCAATCAAATTGCCTGACTTTTCCCCAATTCGTGGCATTTTCTTAAATTCCCTAACTTTCCCCTGACTGGAAAAGGGTAAACTTTTCTTCCAGGTCAGTTTTCCCCGATTTTCAGTATCTGGGATTGTTCTCTGTTCCTTGTGGCTTGTAGCTCACACCCTACAAATCTCTGCATCTGGGCAACACCCAATAAAGAAAGTTCACTTGGTAGACTTGTGCAAGCTCAGCAGATTAGATTCAAGTCTCACTCACT